AGGTGATTTTGTGAGTAACTTGCAGTGGACCTAAGTACATGCCAGTTCTGTGTGCCTCCATTAAATGGATTAATTTGGTATTCATGCTGCTAAGAGCTGAGGCTCAGGATGCCAGAACAGGTAGGAACAAAATGAAAATTTCCTCCAAGATAATTAAAGCAATTCCCTCTGTCTCCTCAATTAAACCAAGCAACTAAATGAAATAAAGCAACCTGAAGATGAAAATGCCAACCAAAGTGTTCTAGTTTTCATCAGAGCTGTAAGTAATCTCTCAATCAGGTTATGCCATATAAATACCAGTAGCATACATTCTGCTTCCCAGTCCACAACAATTCCCTTCTCCAAATCCTCCTTTAGCTGTGGGGAGAGCTGCAGAGCTCCCTATTCTGATGCCTTCCATTAGATCAACAATGCTGTAACCTACAGTCTCAGCCTCACCAGATCTCAGCTTTTGCAACGATCTAGCATCAGTGAACATACTCTATTATACACCTATCTGCCTGCCCTCGTTGTCCTAAGCCGTGTTGCATGCCCTGCAGCTGGTGTGGGCCCTTTGCACTAGAAGCCCTGAGGCAGGAAGCACCTGGGGGTTCCCACCTGCAGGGATGGTGGAGAGGGGTTGCTGCTGCCCTAAGTGGAAATGCAGAATTAGCCTGTATCCTGGCTCCTGGTGGGAAAGTGTTTCACTAATCAGAACAATACTTTCCACCCTGCAGTGTCTCACAGACCTTTACACTCGCATCTGCAAAACACAGAGAAATTCTCCTGTCATTCTCATAACAAAGTCAAAATACAGAAATCGTTTTTAAATCTTGAGGGGTTTTTGTTGTTGTTGTTTTGCTTTGGTTTTTTTTTTTAAACAAGGGAGAGTACTCTAGCGTGAGTAGAAATGCTCTCTCAGTTCAGCACAGAGTACTACAGGAATGGCTGTAGTAGAATTTCATCTCATTAGGGTAAAGCTGCATTTCCAGGATGTTCTGGGGCGGGTGGAGAGCTGAGATGAGTCTGATCAAAAGTTTTTGTCGTACAACACTAGCTTCTATTCCTATTCCAAACTGCAGAGAAAGAGGAGGACAATGACAAGAACTTTTGGGCATCTCATAATCCTAGTTCCTCCAAAACTTAAAGAAATGAAAGCGAACAGAGCGACAACACAGGGAAGGAGACTGAAAGTATGACACGGAACTACTGCAGTCGGGTGTGGACAAACAGAGGCAAAGGGTCCTGCTATCCCTAGCATTAATAATGCACTTCTAGTTTTACTGTTTATATTCATTTTATCTAAGAAGAAAATATTTTGTTTTGAAAATGTTCTTATTATAATTCGTAGGATTATGTATAACAATAGAACACTTTGCATTGCAGAGGATAACAGACTAATCTCTCCTACAGGGATAACATTCCTTGCCAAGAGATCTAGAAAACAAAGCGCCGAACTTCTTAGCAATTATTAAAAACAAACAAGGATGGTACACCACAGTTTGAAAGGCCATAGCATGTACAGAAGGATTTAGAAATCAATCACACAGAGAAGATGGGAAATGAGGTTAAGGAGTTGTTTGAACAATAACAGAAATATTTCTGACAGGCAAATGATGAAGGCTACAATAGAAACAACATCTTATCATATAGGATGAAAAGTCATGCTCTGGAAAGCAAAAGAAATGGTAAGAAGCTAGGAGAAACAGTGAAACGTTATAAGGGAAATAGAATGAGGTAAAGATTCATTGTTTGGACAAGAAATTAAATATCGATGCAGCAAAAGATCAAAAATTATGGATTCAAGGAAGGTAAGGTGATCAAAAATTTTGCTTGTATTCTCTCAAATCATTCTGAGCTGGAATACCTAGTCTCCCTTTTATAGGATAGGATACATGTTTATCTGGGAAACCCTGCATAGTTTGCCCACAGTAAATCCTGAACCCACTTTTTCTTTTATCCAGGGCTCCCAAGGCAATTAGAACAGCTCCCAGCTTCTACTGGCAATTTTTCCTTCTTGAAAGAAATGAAATTTAAGACTAAGAGAGACTAAGGAGGGATACTATTTAGTGATTTATAAACACTTATATAACAACTTATCATCAATTAAATCCTCATAGTGTGCCACAGAGTATCTATGTAAGAAAGTAGAAAAATATATCTATAGAAACAGAATGGAATAATCATTAGCATGACTGCCCCCGATTGCACCTAATTCTTCCAGAAGAGAAAAGCACTTTTAGAACTACATTATTTTAGACAAACATGGTGTTTTAAATACCTGGGAAGTAAATCCAAACCTAAAATTTCATGCAAGCAAAATGCTGGTGTCACATCTGCTGGCTCCACACACACAAGCACACACACACACGCACAAAAGGACAAAAATTCCCCAAAGACCTCAAGCTTTCCAGTGTCTCATTTGCATTAATCACTCCATGCATTCAAACATGTGCTCCTACTTTAATGTTGGATAATTACTGTTATGATAATCAAAACATCATTTAGTGAACCCAGCATATCATGTTGTAAATAACATAAAGATAATATTAGAAGCAGATAATTTAACCTGACATATGAAGACTTGCTCTCATTCATTGAAATGAAAATTTCTTCACAGCATGTTAAGTATGTAACACTGTAGCTGTATGGAAAAAGTTCAGTTTTGAAAAAAAATCTATAGAAACCTATGCCAAAAAGCACATTTTTAGATTTCAGTAAAATAGATTTTTTTAGTAAATTATTTAGTGTTATTTAGTAAAATTGTGTGTCCATTAGATTCCACGGCTTGCCACTCAGAATCTGCACAATTCTGTGATGACAGCTGGAGCATGCCCAGCAGAAGAAAGATGGTGAGCTGGCCACAACCAGCAAGGAGACATCTGGGAGCCCAATCATGTTAACTCAGCAAGTAATCAGTTTCGCCACGGGTCAGTTCCTCATCGTAACCATCAAAGTTTACCACTTTTAACAGTGCAGCTGAGTGGTGGGCAGCATGGATGGAGATTGAACAAGGCACGGCAGTGGCTCTGCTAGACAAACAAGAAGAAGCATGCAGGCTGCAAGTCAGAGTCCTGCAGTAAAAGAGGAAGTGCAAAGGCTAGTAAACATCCCTTTAAATGGCTGAAGGGTTTTGACAGGAGCTCACTCTGTGCTTGCCTTATTTTCCCAAGCCAGCATGAAAGAGAGGAAAAGAGGGCCTACAAACCTTGGCAGAGCTCATTAAAGATTCAGGTATTCAAATAAGTTTCTGGTCCATTATTAAATAGAGTTACTCTGTCTGTGCGAATTGCTCCTTTGGCAATTTGCATAGTAATTCCAGCATTCCCAAACCCTCAGCAGTTCCTACAGAAAAAGGGAGGTAAAAAGAAAAGGCCTTTCACAAATACAAGACATGAGCTCTTAACTGCAAAAATCCGCTCACCACCAGTACACAAAAATATTGGAGAAAGTTCAGTTGAAAGGCTCAGATGGAAAATCTGGCAGGTGTCTGGAAAATAAAACATGAAAGAGAGATTGGGGACTGCCAGAATTTTTTTAAAAAGGTGCTGGTGCCCAGTTTCGGCAAAACTAGAGGAAGGAACAGTTGCTTGCTATAAGTAGTTTTGGTTGATCTTCAACTCACCTCCCCAAACTTGTCCAGGCCACTGAAGAAAGCATATCCATTGGAGGTACCTGAACCTGATAACACTAACTCAAATTGTTGGGCCTGCATTTGCAAAACATGCATCTGTACCAGAAAATAGGAAAGAATTCTATGGACGTTTTAGGCACATCCAAAAATATGTGGATTTTCTACCATATAACACAAAGACTACCTCACACTTAGCATGATTGGGATCTGCATGAGTCAAGGTTTATCGCCTTGTGCCCAAGCCAGCCAGACACGAAAAGCCTGTGACTAAACTGAGAAAAACGTAGCCCTGCAAGCTCTATTTTCTTACGGTGAATGGCTTGCGTTGAATCATCTGCTTGGGCCAGATAATGCCTGCACAAGTTGCAAGATAATGAGTTAAGCTCCACCAATGGAAGGCACAAACCTTCGAAGTGTGTTGGGGAAAACATCGAAATGAATGAAGCGAGGTTTGTTGCCTCCCACAGCAGCTACACAGAAGCTGGTCTGTTTGGGGAAGGCACGGCGCCTTTGAGTGCAGGGTGCCCTGCCCACAACACTGGTCACCTGCTGGGAGCCTGCATTGAGCCGGGCTACATTATAATTGGATTTTCCGAAGGCACTGCATTAGCATTTTCCATGATCTCACCCTTATTAGCCAAATAGCTAATCGGAGTCGCGCTCTTACACTGTTTGCTAGTTAAGCGATCCGCTGCTATACTGTCTGCAAGCCAACTGCAAATTCACACAGTGATAAAAACTCCTCTTTATCTAACAGGCAGGGAGTTTGTTCTGGGGCTAGTCTTGCAATTAAAACTCTAATTTTCAATAGATCGTGAAAAAGCAATTTCTCTCCAGTGCTCAGTTCAATTGGCGCTTCGCTTAGGCTGTTCCCAGTTCTTTACTGTAAGTTAGGAAAGCTTTTCTTTAATCAGCATAGGCAAGAGCAGCATTGCAGTAAAATTTAACAATAGAAAAGTCCTATCCCATGGACTCTTCCCTAGTGTGTCTAAAATCAAACTTACAACATGTTTCATCCTATATGGTTATTATTTAAATGCCTCTGTATGTTGATGGGAATTAAAATATCTGTTCTAAATGCAGAAATGACACACAAACCTTCTCTAGCTGATTCCTCTCTGTCTACATATAGATCAGTAATCTGCTTGAGTAAGAATTTCAACTCATATTAACTACTTCTGTGTTAGCAGGAAAGCACACAGGACATCTCACATGGCTCCTGGCACTAAGTCCCCACTTCCTCCTTTAGATGGGGTCCCAGCAGCTGGGGTACCTCCTTCTCCAAGAGCCTGAAGGGAAGAGGCAGTCTGGCAAGTGGGTAACGAGGCAGTACTTGATGAACAGCCATTGACCGGAGTTTTAGAAAAGTCTCATAGTCGTAATACAATTTTGTTTAGAAATCCAGGCTTTATTCTCTGATTGGAAGTCACATGACAATGTTCAGATTCATTGCAGTGGGATTCTTTGCAAGAAGTCTTTGGAAATATAAATCTGCTTTCACTGTGAAGTTAAGCTCATGAAATACTTACACAAAAACTATACAGATACAAATAAGTATGAATAGAAAAAGAATTATTGTTTTGAAAGGAGGGCTGGCCTGGACTCAGAATGGGAATAGGCACCATGTGCCTGGCCTAACATCAATGGCACCTGATTCCAATTGCACAAACATGTTAAAACAGTGAAGTGCATTTCCTTTTTTACACACAACCAAGAGAACCTACAGAATTCAACATGGTACCATAAACAAATCATTCCCAGGAATCAAATAAAAACAATTATAATCGTTAAACAGAAAGAATCACAACGCTATAGAGCTGGAAACTTGAATTCAAACCAGATGCAACTGTCTTCCAAAGCCCCAGCAACAGCTCCATCTTTTATCACAAGGCTTCTTAACAAATAGCCAGCACAAACAGCATTTTCAGAACAAAGGGCATTAACGCTTCCCAGTGGAGTTTTAAGTGGATCGTGAGGATCTCTAGCCTGAACAATCAGCTTTTCTATTGTCCTCACAGGGATTTCACAAGGCATAAATAACATGCCTGAAGAGATAAGGAGCTGGGACCAAAAAAAAAAAAAAAAAAAAAAAAAACAAAAAAAAAACACCAAAAGAAAAACAGAACAAAACCAAATAATGAAATTGCAAGACTAGCTCGCAGTCTTGGGTGTACACATCTTCAGGTCAAAGGCTGTCAGTGATGGGCTCCTTTCTCTGATGATGAATCTGCAAAAGTAAATCAATAGCATGATTCTGACACTGAGAAATCCAATCTGCAAATGATTCATTTGTCTCAATGTTTTCTCTCCTCCCCTTCCCTTGGAGCCAATATCACACATCCTTACAAGCCAGTAATCAACCCAATACAAATAATAGTGAGCATGAAGAAGCAAAGGAGTGTGGGGACATCCTGCAGTGCATCAGCATTCTCTATCTAGTCCTGAATAATCATGGTACAGTGCAATTCGGAGGTTCTATTAACCTCCATTCCCGATATAAAACCCTTCCAGATCTCTAAAAAGAGCAACTGACATTCAGCAGTGCTCATTAGGTGTACATTAACAGTAGGTGCACCCAAGAGAGTAGGTAAGTACAAAAGTACAACAGAGAGAAGAATTCAGTAATAATACAACTGTTAAGTAGGTGTCTGCACTTCAGATGTGTTTATCAGTAACTCCTTCAAGCTAGGAAAACAAAAAATGATCAGAGAAAGGAAATGTACTATGGCCAATGTAATACGTCCTTCCTTCCTGAAGCTTCAAAAGATTCTTGAAATGCTGCAACTTGTTGCTAGTAGCACATACACTGGTGCTCACACCACTTCGCTTACAAGAGAAATATTAGGAGTGAAATACCTCCAGCAGGGATTTGAATTTGCCTAGGAGAATTGCTCTGCAGCTACTATGCAGTAACCTCATCTTTCATGTCTGAACACATGGGGTTGATGATATCCAAATGCAGATGAAAGAAAGTTAACCAAAGTATCCACATCTGTGACAAGGCACAGCACCACACAAATCATTGATTTTGGCTAAATTTTTCCTTTCAGGTATTATCAGAGCTAAAATTCATGTTCCTTGTTCAGAAAAGCCAGGAAAGGCAACCATTAGCAGATTGGTTCTTTGTACATATTTAAGGTAGACAGAAAGAAATACAAATATATAAATATTTGTGCATTATGTGCAATAAGATAAATCAATAATTTACAGTTCAGCCATCCAGTGGAATATTGTACTCTTCTACCACATAGGGAACACCTCAGCTTGTATTCCCACACAATGTTTTTGAAGCAAAACCTTTTCCAAAGAAAACAATTTGATGAAAACGTCAAACACTGACTCTTTGGCCTTGAGCCTCTGACTTGCATTTTGAGAGTTCCAGGCAGCTCTGGTCCATCACTGCACAAAAGCCTCTCCTGCTCCCAGCCCCAAGGTCACATAACAGCATGGCACCAACAGTCTGCCATAGAAATGAGTGTAGAGGAAGATCAAAAGCTTCCGTGATTCGGCAGCAAGAGCAATATGTCCAGTCTGGTCCTACTTTTCCAGCATCCTCTTTTCTGCTCACATGACTCCCTGAAGAGAGAACACAAATCCTTCCCCAGTCAGAACAGGGTCAGGTAGTATCTCTGGGCAGAGATGCAAATAAACCTTACAGATATGCAGCGGAGTAATTTCATGCACATAGCCCCCTGTAACAGCAAGGAGGATGAAACACAACTTTTCTACCAAGCACCATATTTCAAAAACTTCACACCAAATTTAATATCCAATGTCCACTGAAAGCAAAACAAGATCTAGATAAATCCCAATATGGTGTTCAATAGAAATGAAATTATATCCAGAGATATACAGATATATATATACTGTTTCTCTTCACATTAGACACTTTCAGATTGTACTGTAGAAAATTAAAAATTTTTCTGTGATCTCTATCTCAAACTGACTTCAAAAAGAAATACTTCTCATGTTTTTGATGTTAAATCTTAGAGGGGTACAGAGTGGCCTTCTCTTTATATTGCAGCAGCAAAACTCAAGTTGTATCAGTGAAAATTCTGGAAATAATCACGTACACACACCCGAGGGAGGGCAAGCTGTTAATTAAATAACTGTCTTGACTTTTCTAACGAAATGTATGCACTGAAGACAGGGTAAATACCAACAGTGTTTCTTTCTTTTTTTTTTTTCCCCTCTCCAGGAAAATTAAGATGTCAGTTAATTGACTTTTGTTCTGTCTGTTTTTCATTGAAGATCTCCGCAAATAAATTTTTCCATTTCACATTTTTCCCCTCCCTGCAGATGCCATTATTTTCAATGGAAAACCCCACACTTCCCCCCTCTTCTTCCAATTAGCTGTAATTATAACAACATTAGCTGCAAAGTAGGTACCCTTGAGGCCAAAATCTGGAAAGCAGTGCAGTGCAGAGGGGAACAGGAGATGATATTATAATTAAAGTAAGTGGACATATCAAGCTGCTACATGGACTCTTTCGGGCATCCCTAGGGCTTCACAGGTTGGTTTCTGCTTTCCAAGGAATACCAGTTGCCTCGCTAAGAGCTGCCTGTGCCCAGCATAACTGGATCCAAAACTAAAATGTACAGTTTAGGTGAAAGAAATCCAGTAGTTGTATCAAACGGGGGCAATTGGGGTTCTCAAACATGTATTGAGACTCTTTCTGCCAAGAAAACAAATACAGTAAGATTAATTTTGGATGTGAAGAAATCAGTATGTGCCAGCAGTTGTGGCATGCAAAAGGGTTCTCGCTCAGAGTAGGCTTTGTGCTATAAACCTCTTTTCCAGACAATTTTCCATTAAAAACTGAGTTTGGGGAAAATGTCCAAATATTAGTCTTCTTTTTTCTTTTTTTTTTTCTTTTTTTTTTTCTCCTAAACTGCCTTTTCAATTTTACGCAGTTGGATAAGGAAGGAAATCAACACTATTTGCCAAAAAAAGTGACATTAAATGCACTTGCTGGAATTCTTTCTGCCTTGCTCCCTAGAAAGGAGGGAAAAAAAAGGGGAAACTTTTTCCAACAATTCTGAGTGACAAAGCACAGATACTTAGGAGCTAATGTCCCTCTGAAAGCAGCACAGCTGGCAGAACAAGGCTGAGCTGGAAGGATTTAAGCACGCTGCAAGAGCAGGATTTCCAGAGAGTGAAGAACTGGGGATGGGATCATCCCAGAGGCAGACAGGAGAAGTTAACTTCTCAGAAACCCGTTGCTCATGCAATGTGTCATCTCTCTTCTTCCTTAGCCTCTTCCTTAGCCTCTACCCACCTCCTACCATTTATCATTACACACTGCCCTTCTCTCTTTATTGTGACCCTCAAGCAAATAGCCTCACATTTTTGGAAGCCAAGTGATTTGTCCTAACCCTGCCCTGCAAACCATGAACACCCATTACTTAATAGCCTAGTCTCTACTACCACCCATCTATGGGGCATGGCAAGGCACAGAGTGCTCCTGCCTAATTCCCCATGCAGCCTGCCTTCATGGAGTGCTTCATGTTTGGGAAGAGAAGGAGAAGACATCTTTGTTCTTACAGACAAGCTGTGCTCTGATATGAGTCATCTGACTTGTTTTGAGCTGTTCAACAACATGTGCAACGTGAAACTTCTGGGATACTAGTAGGAAGAAAAAGTAAGGAAATCAGATCCATAAGTTCAGATACAGTCCACATGCTCCTCTTTGCAAAAGTCTGTTGAATATTTCTGGATTCAGCTTGAATCCCAACCTTTCTGGAAGTTATATTTTATGTGGTAAGGAAATCTTCACTGTTCCACACAACCCCTCACAGGTCAAAGAGTCTCCAAGCTCCTATGATTACCAATGGCAGTACCATGTTTCTTAATTTATGAGGCCCATCGAAACTGTTTCTAAGGCCTCAAAGGCCTGAATAGTACTTTGATAATATTTAACTAAATGCCCTAGTGCCAGAAATTTATTTATATGAAGCAAGTTTAGTAGTCAATACAAAGTAGTCTAAAGAAAAAAAAAATGTCAGCTTACAACAGCACAGATGCCTCTATCACAAATACTTGCAGAAAAGGTAAATTCATTTCAGGACAGATTTGCACCCTAATGCAACTATTTCTGATCCACTAAGCAGACAGCTTCTAGAGACACCAAAGCTAAAATAAACCACCTCTTCCTCTACCTTTGTTTGACAGTGTCTTTGGGCTTTTTTGTTTGTTTGTTTGTTTGTTTTTGGTAGAGCACTACAAGTATTACTAGCCAGGACTCTTTCTTACTCTTTTTTGCAGGACAATTTATCCCAAGAAGTTCTTCTTCCTCTTTCTGACTTTACTATAGGGTATCTCATTTCTCTCATTTCAACATAGCAAAAGCAGTTCAATTGCAGCTTGCCTCACTTGGGCTTCTTCTTCCTATCCCATATCGATTTCTGCCCTTAAATTCCTGAGGTCTTGAGGTTTTTCCACCCTCCCCTCCTTATCTGGGAGTTCTAGATTTTAGTTGTTTTTCTTTAAAGTCTTCCATTTCCCCTGATTCATTTCCTCAGCCAGAAGATGCACAAATATTGTATCTTGCTACTTTAAGAGCTCTTTATGGCTACAATCACTATAGTTTGAAACATTCATTGCTTTGTCCTTTGAGATTGACTGTCATTTTCCTTGGGGAAGCATTAACTTTTATTAAAGAAAGCATTTCAAAAATAGCCGTGGGCATCTGTGAATAAAAATGGATTAAGTAATTTAAATCCTGATTACTGAATCAAAAATATAGAGAGGCCACATATTATTCTCAGTAGCTAGTCCTGGACAACATCATGTCTATAACAGTCAATAGCTATTGTTTTACCTATTCAGACACATAGGGAGATCAAAATTTTAAGTACTCATAAATGTATACCAAGATTACTAGTTGTGCTTGGTCACATCCAGATACTCATACCTGCTTGCACACACGCCAGCCTTCAAATTCCCATGCTCTACACAAACAAAGGCAGGTGCAAGACACTTGAGAACACTGTTGCATTAGGCTTTGAACTCTGTGTTCAAGGTCACACTGCTGTCATTTCAAGGCTGAGAACTAGTCTCCCAAGCCGCAGCACCCACTCTCACTGTACAGTAACTTCATCTTACTGCAAAGCCTACAGACCCTTCTTTTCACCCAGATTAAATCCATAAATGGTGCACAGATAGGAGCACCTCTATCTATTCTGTATCATAGAGCTAGTTACTGCCAGCGCAGACACTCTCAGATTTGAGAAGTGTTTAAAACTGGGTTGGAGGTTTTTTTTACAGCATGTCATTGAAAAGATCTGCCTTCTGATTCACCTCATTTGTCTTCAGTTCTAATGCCACAATCTGTGACACATACTTAGTAATTATTTCTCAAAGAAAAAATACCAGTATTGAAGGAAACTACGTTCAGATAGGGAAAACCTAAAGGTTTGCCCTAGAAACATCAATCTACCAAAACAGCATTTCTAAAGGCAACTGCCTCATGCTCAGAGTTGCTGCACTGGTGTTTGGTTTTTCTATAATGAAGCACTAGCTCAGAAGAGATGAGATTTATTGGTCAGTTTATCACCTAATGAGGAAATGAAAGCTGAGAAATGAGACTCAGGAATGCTGTCACACATACTAACTCATTTAAACTCAGAATTGCAATTAGAAGTAGTCAAAAAGAGAACAAAGAAATTGGAAAACATTAAGAACACTTTCATCATATATTCTTGGAGATTCTAAATTTGAAACATTTCTTAAAACAAATGGCTTAAATACAGATTTAATTTAAGTGACTATATATAACATATAAATCCAGGCTAGTGCATTTTAATTGATAGTAGACATTGGACTTCTCTGTGACCAATGGCTAATAAAACACTGTTTTATTAGCAAAGATAAAAAGAGCCCTGAAGATACACTACAGACATACCCTACATAGCACCATGATGGTACTAGCTGAGAATTCTTCATGATGGACACTAAAAAAAGAAAGGGAAAAGTCTGTGAGTTTCCTACTCACTGTTTCACTGAGGAGGTGGCATTTGGACGTTCTGGACAAGGAACAGTTAAAGAAAGACAGAACATGAGGTTTAAAAAAGATTTTCAAGGAGGCAGAAGTCATTATAATCAAACAGTGAAAAATAATTTGCTTTTCTTCAGATCCCCTAAGTGTACTGCCCTGGACCACAGCTGCAGTTGGTGGCCGGACGTTTCATACACTGGTATAAACATCCTCTCAGTATTCTCTGGTGCAATAAATCACTCTGAGTTTAAGTGGGAGGAACTACAAAATTAATCTCCTGTCCTCTCTTGCAGTCACAGCACTACTTTCCCTGCAACCACATCAGAACCCTCCAAGCAGTTGCCATGTAATTATGGGAAGCTTGTCCTCTGTTTTGGCAAGCTATGTTCCCACCGCACCCTCTCTTCTGTACAAATGTGGGGGACTATAAACAACAGAAGAGTTACTCTGCAGCCATCTTCTTCCAGATGTTACTATGCAGTTTTTGCTGGTGACTCCCTCCCAGTCCATATGGAACCCACTCACCCCAGGAAATGGTGCTCAGATGGAGTGTATGTACTCCGGCAGTGTACACCAGCTAACCTGGTCACTCCCCTAGTGCTGCACTGGATGATGCATCATTTGTTTGAGACAGTATTGATATAAAAGGACCATTTAGACATGAGAACAGAGAAAAACATGAAACTTAAGAGAGAAAAGCAGTGGACTGGGGAAATTCTGGATTTGCACCCAGAACAAAGTCCTTTCTTAGTGCTCCCTGGCGGTCTTTTAAGAGGCCGCCAAGCACTTCAAAATTCCAAGGAACTCTGCATGACTTCAAATGCAGCTACAAATATTAAATGATCCTCCTGGTTTCCAACAGATAGCTTACATCAACACTTCAGCAAGCAATTAATTTGGTCTGTTTAAATAGTTTTATTTTTAGACCCAGCACACTAAACTACCAGAACTGATCAAGAACAGGCATTCTCACTTTAAAGTGAAATAATGTCCTAAAACCTGCCCCATCCTGGCTCCCAAGTTTGGCTCATCATTGAATTTAGTTTTAGCTGAAGCAGCAGAACCTCTAAAGACAATTCTGAGGATATCTACTCTTTAGGACTTCACAGGCATTTAATGAGGCAAATCCATGATCCCATAATGTGTAACAGAGATATTTTACCGATTGCAATGGAGTCGAAAGCTGTGACATAGATGATATTACATTAGAAACATCACCTGTGTTGCACATACACCAATCTCATCTTGCTGAAGCAAAGCTGTCATTTAAGCACTCAACAGATAAATAGGAAAGTTTACTATATATCCCTCGAAAGCCCCCATTTCAAAAAAATAGTACAGCTGTTGTCTTACCCTTTGCCTTGTGCTGAACATCTGGAGGAAACTGGTCAGGAACATACCACTGATAGTCTGGCTGCACAGAACAATAAAACATTATTACAGCAATATGGACTTCACAGACACTTCAAACAAGAGAATAGTGGCATGTTAAAAACATAATTGTGCTGTGAAGCTTTTTGTTAGTCATACAGAAGTAGCTTACAAAAATCTTATATCTAGCTTGATTTTCTACCAGTTGAGACTTTCTGCTTGCTTCCATCTTTGTGATGCAAGGTTTAGTTGCTGCACCAATTAGAAACATTGTTGTAAACCTTTCTAGATCCTTCAAATCAAAAAACATTAACAGAAGCCAGTTCAATTTTAAATGGGCTTTATAGTACACTGCAGCTAGGAATAAAGGAATAAAACATATCAGAAGATATGACTGGCTCCATCCTCTATACTTAGCAAGCCAGAGAAGCCTGGTGTGCACTGTGACATGACAGGTGAACCTGTTCTACTTTCAGTACAGGTAACACATTGCTTTGCACAATAGGAAAATCCTTTTGAATAAAGTTCTCTCCCTTTTCCCTTTCCCACAAATTAGCATTTCTGTTGCAATCACATTAGCTGTTGTTTGATAATCTATTGAAAACACCGTGGGATGAGAAGATTCCCCATCTTTCTTATAAGAAGCACTATTGAGAAGGTTGTGTGCCTACAAGCATAGTACATGGAAATTCTTCATGGTAAGGAACAGTAAGGAAGAAAGCAAAATTGTGTCGTAGTTTATATTGTGCACTGTGGTAAGTGAGTGTTACGAGTAGAGAAAACAATCCAGGGACCAGGCTGTTTATCTGAAGCTCTGTTAAACCAGCAGTGTGATTTGAGCACTGCATTCAAGCTCATCAAATTACTTCCAGGCTTCAAATTAGTTAAATAATTGCTGTTTTGCAGAAATTACTCTAACAAAACTCTGAGTAGTCCAAGGAGACTCTTACAGACTTCAACTTGTAGAGAGAAATGCCATTAATGTCTCAAGAAGTTTTGCCTCAATTAAGATGGCAAGATGAAGCTGCAGATACAGAAAAGTGATTCAGCTTCTATGTGTGCTTTCATTCAGTCACATAGCAGTGATCATTATCATATGTTGCCAGGGAAAAGGAAGTATCCTATTTTCACTTGAAGAACATCGTTCACAGGAATTAACTAATTCTGTGTTTGAGGACAAACAAACAGGCTTTGATACAGTGCAAGACTGTGCTTTACTTTATGCACCGTTAGTTTTCCCCTCTAATGGTTCAAAATGTATTTATCTGCATTGCTCTTCTGAATTTCTACTCACTTTTTTGTTCTCTGATTTACTGTTTTCTTTCACGCGTACACAATGCAGAGTGGAATGCATTTCAGAGAAAAGAGATGTATTTCATGTTAGACTAAACGGATTTTTTCTATTGACAAGTAAAATGAACAAAAAGGCACAAGATATAAAAAGACTGAAAAAGCAAAAGCACAGACTAAACACACAGGATTACATACGTTAACTCAGGACACCCATTGAATTCTAACACCTTTCCTCATTGCTAACAAATTGTTCAGGGAGCTATCAAAAGCTCAGAGCAGTAACGCTGCACTCACACAGGCAGAGAATTTCAAAGAAAGCTCAGAATGAAACTAGGAGTTACAAAGTGACCAGTCAAAGTGACCCCAGTGTTCCGGCAGGAACAGTTAAACTGTAAGCCCAGTGATCCTTTACAGAATTAGAAATCCAGACGATGAAAATTCAGGGAGAAGAGCCAAAATAATCTGGGACAGTGTCCAAATTGAAGTGAAAAACATTCTCCAGTGCTTCAAATTCTGATAAACAGGTAGATGAGCACACTCCTGAAGTATGGAAATGAGGTTTGACCGTAGCCTTCTCCTTGTTTCTGCAGCCTTATATGTATTTTGCAAGAACTAAGCTTGAATTTCTCAAATAAATGAACATCTTTAGTAGGCAATAGCTCTATATGCAGAAACAGATACTGCATATCTAAAATGACGTTCACCATGTTTAAATGGATCTTCACTGGTTTTGAAGGGGTACAGCCTTCTTTTTAGATAACCCAGAGCACTTCAAAAATATCAGTCTTTGAATCAGTATTTTCATTGAAATAGACAACTCCACCTGACATAACCTGGCCTAAAGAAAAAGATTTCACTTCATGCTGAGGATTACAAGAAAAAGGCCAATTTCCTGCTGCGTTATCTACATACAAATGTAACTCCCACTTATACTTCTTTTTTTTCCCCCCTCTTCTCCCAGTACACAGGCTTGCTTGGGAAAACTGCATTCCTAGAGCATTCATGGTCAGAGTGGCTCAACTCTAGTAGAACCTCATTCCTCACATAATCCTACTTTACATCAGAGGACCAGAAGGAAGGTACTACTTGGTACAAGAGATAGCATCTGGAATTTCACCCTTACAGTTTAACAGCAGCTCTGTGAATCCTACAGCTGGCTTGTCAGCGTGTGGGAATGGGGAGGGGGAATGTGTGACTGTGCATCTGTCTACAGGAGTATTGCCTGAAGGTAGGACAGCTGTATTATCCACGAATGCAGAAATCGTAAGTGAAGCACAGAAGTTATTTTCCAATGACAAGGCCAAAGAAAGAAATACTCAGGGTAGGACATGGAAATAAGCCATTAGCCAACAAGCTTTCTTAGGCAGACTAGACAGAAGAGAACAAAATAATACTGGCTGCAGCTAAATACTTACTGTTGTCACTATCATTTATTCTGAATGCCCAGAACTGGGATCCAGCTAGAAAAGGCTCTGAATTTACATGGATGTAAATTAATCTGAGAAACTAGCAAGAGCTTAATCAGACAATCTTATTAATTTTTTTAATTATAGGATGACCACCATTATGACTGAAATCAAATGGATAATAGTCCCCTTTTTCTACTCAGCAATTTAAAAATAATTAGTATTTGCTAAAATTATTTTAAAATTTACAAGGATATATACTTAAGGTATATAATTATTTACAGGCTTAAATTGCTGTAATTTTTTTCCTCTACACACAGATTTCAGTTGGCTATGCTTCAAATGAGACATGGCAGCAATCTGTGCAATTTAGTACCAAAGATGCTGGAACAATAAGGAAGAACAGAACATGCTCATAAAAGGAAACCAGCATGTTGAGAAAGACAATTATGGAAGAGAGACTGTGCAGAACTCAGAAAGGCTCTTCAGAATCTTGAGGTAATTCTAAAACCTGCATGAAATCTTGATCTGGTGCCAAAAACAAATGGAAAACCAACAAATTTGGATACTGGTGAGGATAGCAGTATGGCAGCACTGTGTTAATTCTTCCGTGGTCACCATGCTGTGAGAAAATCAGCGCCTTTGTGAAACTGGAGAAGGTGGGAACCTCACCGAGTGCTGCTGCTGTTCTTGTGCTCTGCGAGACACTCGGTGGACTCGAGGATCTTGATAGTGAAGAAGCAACCCACAACTCCCATAATTAACACACGGGGAGAGAAATAGTGGAGATGGGTAGGTGAGCCTCTCGGACTGTACCGGAATATCTTTTGTCTGTCAAAAAATAAACAAAACAAGAAGAAATGCATTACTAACAGCATACGACAAACAGTAGAATATCCACATACCAAATGCCTTGGTGAAAAGGAACAGGAAAGAAAAAACCTCTCTCAGTGTGTGTCACAATGTTCAGTTTACTCTCTCAAGTCTGTTCATGATTAAAAAAATAAATTAAGAAATTTGATCTTTGCCATGACACTTTCTGACACTTTTTATATTAGAATTTTTCTCCTATATATGGCAAGCACATTTCTGGGTGTTTTCTGTCTTCAAGAGTTTTTCATCTCATGCCATAGCTTTCAAGAGCTTGAAGCAAACCTACACAGACAGGTACTCATGCAATGAAAAAAAAATCAACTTCTGGTCCTTTGATAATGAACTGAAGTCTGTGGTATTGAGATTTGGTTGAGTCTTATCTCAGGCTGCGTGTCAGTAGAATCAATAGGAATTCGCCAAGGGACAGAACAAGGAGGAATGACAGATGAGTCAGAACTAAATATTTTGACTTCAGAAAATAAACTAATAAATATGCTGCATGACTGTATGACTGCTCCCATATTTAAAGTTCTTCACAAGCTTTGTTTAATCATATCCCAAGGCAGAAAGAGACAAACAAGATGAATCCAAGTGTAAGTTCCCACTACCTATCTGCCTCAAAAATTTCCTGTGGAAAGAGGCAAGGCTCAGCCAAGTGCAAAAGGAAGAGTTGTGCAAGGGCAAATATGGAGGAGCTGATGCACTGGAAATTTCACACCCTACCTGGTCCCTCTCATCTGCTCATAGCCACAGATAACATGTGGAATGGATTTTTGTAAGCAACTGCAGCTGATCACACGAGGGGGATAGTTTAAAGCTATGTACCAAGCCTTTTTATGTGGGCAAGCCTCAAGTATACCTCCACTAGCCTCTGTTTCCTCTAGAACACACCAGTGAGCCACAGGTAATCCCCAGCTACAGCAGATCTGACCTTCTGGCAGGGGGAGAGAGGAAGAAGGAAGGAGTGCACTTGTTCTCCCAGTGTAAAGAACCTGAACCCTTCAGGCTGTCTTGCCATGTGCAATGCCACTAGCTGTTGTGGCTGGCAAGCAAAGGGAGAGGCTGGGCTCTTAAGAAATGGAGATAGTCCTCAGTGAGCCCAAGGGCCAACATTTCAGTTACATCCAGCAATAAGGAACAGGAAAAGAGAGCGTACCTGCTGCTGTAACTGCCTTTCTTGTGGTTCCTTTCCTTTCAGACAGGTCTTCATCTGTGAAGAAATGAAATATTCACCCTAATAAACCAAATCTCTAAAAGCCACATCCAAAGCTGTTCCTGTCATTGCAATGCAGCAACAACCAAGTTTTACACAAACACCATGCAAGCACATGCACCACGTGTGCACTGTGGAAACACTTCTTGCTCAGAGAGCTGGGGAGGGTGGAAGAGCCCATGCAGCATTGTTTGTAGTTCCCTATTTTCACAGCATCCGCTGACCAGCTGGAGCCATGCAAGTTATGTATTTATGGTCTTCAGACAAAGCAAAAATACATAGGAAGAATGTGTCTGAGTGCGTTCTACCAAAAAAAAAAAAAAAATGATTACTTTATCAAACCATCCAGGAGTAGGCTGGAGTGGGAGAAATGTAACTAAAATGTGTTTGCATGCAATACTAACAGATTTGTCCTAGGTCTTTCTGCATGCCTAGGAGGATTTCTTTTTTTTTTTTTTTTTTTTTTTTTTTTTTTTCCACACTTGCATGAAGTGCTTTGAAGCACCTATAAAAGCATTCACTAGCCAGAGGCCCTAATACTAATGCTGGCTCATGCCTGAGCTGAGAACAAGGCAATGTTGCAGTTTCTGCTTCACAACAAAGTTGGGGCAGACAAAAAAATCACCACAGAACATTTTGGTAATCAGCCGTTCTTTTAAGCTATTGCACAATTTTGTTGAGAGAGGAAACCTCAGCATTTCATCATTTTTAAATAGGGTTGAGAAAGCTTAAAGTTTTACATGCCATGACTTCGCCTTGGCTTCCTGAACGTCTGTGAACAGAATACTGACACTACTCCGAAGAGATAAAAAGGATGTTGCAATAACAAATTATTCTAGAGGCTGCTCAGCTAATTTGCATGGAGACATTTATTTTTTTTCCTCAGTGATATTAATATTACTCCGTAATTCCAAGACAGAGGTCAGGACACTTTACAGACATTTTTCATGTCAAAAGCTGGTTCAGTGTCATGACTCTAATATCAAGTGCCAGAAAAACAATCAGGAGCCCTCTGGATTTGTTTTCGATTTTCCTCTCCATTTTAAGATATGCTTGAGGATTTTTTGCAGTAAACACTCCCCTCATCTGCTTAATTTGGAAGTTGTCTCTAATCATTTCTCATCTTCTAAACTCATTACTTCAGAATGATTTCATCCCAGGTGGTGACCTCACATAAAATTCAATGTCAATTAATAGGAGCCAGAAAGCCTTGGGTTGTGTGGAGAGTGAGAAAATAAAAATAAAATACGCATGTGTTGGCAAGAGCATCTTTCTTTTGACTCATACCTGTGAGTTTAATTTATTCAGTTGAGTCTGTAATCTCTCATTAGCCTTCTGCAATGCTTCTTTCTCCTCATTAAGTCTTTCTCTGTCAGATCTCTCCTTTCTGAAGTCCTCTTCATATATTTGTACCTGCAATCATTATGACCAAGTCTGTGAATTTCAGCAGAGCCACACAGAAATTTTAATCCATTTTTTTTGTGTGTGTGGTTGCTTTTTTAACATTTGTCAACCAGAGGGTTGCATCTGAAAAGGATCCTTACAATCCTGCAACCAAAATACTTTCCCCCATCTTTTTTTTTTAAATTAAAAATAGCAAATGAAGAGTCTCCAGTGGCACATATCAACTGAAACAGTCCACAGCTTCATTGTTCATAGACACATGTAATTACTGGGGAATATCCATTTTAAAGACTATAAATAGGATTGCAATGATTAAAGACATGGATATTTTTAGGGAATAAACAGTAGTTAAAAAAAAAAAAAAAATCCCTTTTTTCCGTCAATCTTCTTTTCAATTACAAGCCCTTGCAACTCCCCCCTGTACCTCAGTGAGCATCATGGTGGAGGCAAAAGGTGTCGGCATAGCACAAAAAAACAACTTCCAGCACACAGTCCAACAAAACATTATCATTTTATCCAAACTATCAATGAACAGCTATGATTAAATAATGTCCTGCCTTTTCCATAGCCATTAAACACCACTGAACACCACATGCCAAGATCAGCCTTGTGCCTGTCTTGTTTTACACCCTGTAGTTTTACTTTATATGTTGCTCCAACGATCTAACATTGGTGCAGATCAAAGGATTAAGCTGCACAGAAATACTGGTACTATTTAGAGCTGTGACCAGAAGACCTGGACAAGTCAGGACTGTCAAGAAGTTTAGACCTTGCCTGAAACACTATAGGAAGAAATCTGTAGGAGGATGCCTTGCCCTAGAAGCTTGAAAAGGGATAAGAAAAAATAATTGGCCAGTGTACCTTTTGTCTGTGATATGGGACCTCTGATCCCCCCTCTCAAACAGCTGCCCAAAGAACCTACCCATCTCAGCAAAGAGGCAGAGGGGATCATTGACACATAATTCAGAATGCAAACATGGGGGTTTGACCCAGTTCCTAGAAGACAAACTGTCTTTTGATACTGAGGAATACAATACCTTTTCTCTTCTTATGTCATATGGGGTCATAGCTCCGCATCCTGTTTAAAAAACATCCGACCTCCCAGGGCACAGACAGCAAACGTATTCAGAAGCAAAATACAAGTCCAAAAGCTAATTGATATCAAGCTGGCTGACTTTAGTTCCTCAGCTAATGGACAGACATCCACCTGGTGTGAACTTAGAGGTTGGTGGTACTTCCACAGACAATACAGAAATACAGCAGAAATACATTGGAGTGGGAATGACCATCAGAGCTTCCAGGAGTCCTTTTGTGTCCTTGCAGTTGGCCACTAAAATCTGCTAACAGTCTACTTGCAGAGTTTCTTTGCTGCAGTTCAAGCTCTGCCCACCACACAGACCTAGTTTGCTTTTTGCTGGCAGCAGTATTATGACTTCACAGGAAGACTAAAGAAATGTTAATGCCTCAGGGAACAAAAAAAAGTCAACATAGGGCTCCATAAATTATTTTCATGACTTGCCTGTTACAGCTAATTTTTGCAAGGTTTTTAGGGCCCAGAGGCCCCCCACTAGATATAATCCCTTTCCTGAATAACACGGTGTAAAAACGAACAAAGGCTTTCTGTGTGGCCACGTGGAGTCCCAGCTCCACTGCCTGTGGCTGATGGAGGCATGAGTGCTGTGATCCCCTGAAACAGATGCAAAGCTGTCAGCTACTGACGTGTAGGTTTCTTGTATCCCTGTCCATCTACACACATCTCAGCGTTTCCTCATTTCTTCTTTCCTGCTTTGCTCTCTGCTCTCTCACTTCCCTCTCAGCTGTAGGGATCTGTTGAAGCTGCAAGAGAGCAAACTTTGTCACGGTTTTGTCAATATTCTCTTGCACAGAGAAAGGGAGGGACACCTCCCAAGGAATGAATGCCTTCAACTCGTCTGTAGTGGCCATCTTGGCTGATGACAGCCAAGATCTGGTGACACTGTCACATCACTTTTCATCCCAAGGATGCCTTTCCCTGTAAAGCTGAAGACTCCTGCTCCACTCTGTGCAAAAGGAAGTTTGGATTCACTGTACTGATTTATAGAACCAGAAAAATAAATTCATAAAATGGTTACCCCATGAGAATTCTGAAAAAATTTGGTTTACTCTATTTTATTGTGGAGAATGAAATAACTCATTACTGTACAATCAAGTACAGGATTTTATTTTCCAGCATGTGGCAAGCATTACATTAGAGAGCAAACTCTGGCTCTGCTGTCAAACGTGACAGAAACAAGTATTTTATTTCTATTGAATAAAATTTCCATTCTGATCATATCCATTTGTGTGTCAATAATGTTAACCTTAACACTGTCCAGAATGACTGACCTAAACTGCAAAACTATCTGTAAAGTATCATGCTTTAACCAGATTCTTTCATGTGCAGACAGAGAGTGCACAAAGCACTTCAATAGCTTAAAATGAACATTAAAAAAAATAAATACACCTCCCTATAGTCACAGGCATACAAGTTATGGATGCAAATGTTTTGCCTCATACTTTAAAACGCTGCAAGACCAGCACTAATGAATTGTTTTGAGAATCCTGGTCTTGGCAAATTAAGCTTTCAACTTAAACAAAATAAGAAACAGAAGACACAAGTGACCAATCCATCAGTAACTGATGAAGTACATCAGTCTCTCTGGATGAATTCAGCCCATAGCAAGAGGCTGCCAGGACAGCTCCAAGAACCACAAATGCCATTTTGCCGCCTGAAGTCCAAGACAAGGCTTTGCTCCAGATCTTTGCAAGGACTCAGTTTCACTTTATGGACTCTGCTGTGATGACAGCATTTTAGGAAAAACCAGTTTTAATAGCATAGAGCTCCTACAGCTTCCTTTCAAAAGTACTATATAATGAGTCAACTAGACACTGCTCTTGGGAGTGAAGGCAAAAGCATGAAATTCAGCCAGGCTTTCTCTTAGCCATTCTTACCTGTTGTCTGAGAACTTCAAGTTGGGTTCTCATGTCACCAAAGCTGTTCTTGTCACCAGTCTCTGGAGGAGTCCTAAGAACAGACGAGTTCTTTTCCAAAACATCCAGAAGGGCCTGCAACATAAAACATGACACTTACTACTGAGACTCACCACATCAGAAAAAGTTATTTCAATCCATTATAATGTTTTCTCTTTAAATAAACAGATTAGAGTGAGTCACCGCATTTTCCTTCACTTACAGTTGCTTCAGTTATACACACAATGTTAACTCACTAACAATAACGTGTATGCATGCCTAAGTCCAAATTTTCCAAGTGCCCACACTGCATTCATGAATCTGAGACAGCACAGTTTAGAAGACTGTGTTTGTACTTGCAACTACAACCAACAAATAACAGTGAACATCACAGCTGCAATTCTCATCCAGAAATGTCATTTTACCTGTGTAAATCAGAATTTGGGAAAACCAAGGGAGGTGTCTAAATTCATCTGCGTCCAAAAACAGACAACCCAAGACTGTATAAAGAAGCATTCCGCCATATCCTCCTACATGTGTAACTACAGTAAAGCCTGATCAAAACACCCTCTGCGGAAGGAGCTCAGACTTCTTCAACTAGAACCAAAGGGAAAACTCCCTTTGAAAGGAAGTTATGTAGTCTCTGTAATTTGTCACTAGAGGGAGTTATGTATACGCACACTGCACAGAATGTTCTTACATGCTATTTTTCAGTCAAATTCTGCTACTTACAATGTTTTATTTAGTAGTATTCCACAGCAGTCCCTTGGATTGGAATAGTTTTTAAACTACTCTTACCACTTTTTGTCTATAACCACACACTATGCTCATGTATTTGTTTACTGTAGCACAAATACTGCAGTTTCAGTACTTTTCCATGTCTCTCTCAGGATGTATAGACTCGGCTAATTTCATTCATTTCAGAAGGCTCCATTCTTGCTTATGGTCCCCAGCTCCTCATGGCTAGCCACATACTATTCGTGTCTTAAGAGAAGGGGGAAGATCATTTTGGAAGAGGAAGAAGAAATAGGCAGGGAAAAAAAACCAACAGCATATAACGTAACACAAGGATTAGTAGCATTACGGACTTCATTTTCAATGAAGTACCAAAAGGAGAACAACAACAACAACAAAAAAAGCACTTCCTGCAAAGAATGCAGAAGAGAAAAGGGAGGCCTTTCATTTGATGAGCTAGTGTCAAAAGGATACTGCAGAAGATAAATAGGCATATAATAATGGTAAAGTTTGTGTACCATGTCATACGTGAATTAGATTGAACATAGATATGGGAGGATAAAGGTACTAGCAGCTCACTGGTTGATCTTCCTTTTGTCTATTCTGGCCTCTGCTAATCTCTCTCAGCATATGACACTTCAGCATTCTGCACAAATAGCAAAACAAATAAAAACAAACTTCACATTGGCATTTAGACTGGAAGTTTTTCACTAGCAGCCGCAAGGAATGGAAGATAGAATGTATCATGAGCTGTATGTTGCACAATAAACTAAATCATAAAAGCTTCTTTCATCATCAAAACAAGGACAAAAGTATTATGCAGTGATGCTCTGAGCAAGACTAAAGATCATATTACCCAAGAAGAATAACAGAGACCAGCTCCATGCAAGGAACACGTAAAAATGAGGAGGATCTCACGGCTCACAGAGCTAAATTCAGCTTACCTTCATGCAGTGTCAAATATTGTTCATTCAGAAACACTGAAAACCACAACCTGAAATTGCAAAATTAGCCACACAGAGTTTTCCTGAAATTTTCTATATCAAAAAAGGAAATGTGTGACCAAAAAATATCTAGCTTTATTCTCATAGTTATGAGAAGGATAAATAGGCCATGCATCTAGAAATACCTTAATCAAACCAGAATACATTTTTAGGCCTGGGAATAAATTCTGAAGAGAGTAGTCATAGAGACAAGAGAAAAGGGATGAAGCAAAGCACAGTTTAACCTGATATCTTTCATTAAAAATAAGTAAATAAATAAAAAATACAAAATAAAATACAAAATAAAAAAAAAAATACAAAATAAAAAATACAAAAATTCACAGATTTTCTTAATGGGGAAATACATTCCAGTCTATGGTTGAAAAACATAACTGAGATGGTAATACAGCAAAATTATCCATTAAGTTAGAGAGAAATTGGTCTAATACTTTTACTGTATGGTGAACAGGAAAGTCAATACTGGGGCATGGTATTGCAAACTATTCTGGCATTACAGAATCAGTTTCATAATACAAACATCAAAGCAGGATCAGACCAAACCCTGCATCATGGGCTCTCCAGATGACTGGATCAACATGAAGCCTGAAGTAAACGTACTTGGACACAGTACTAATGTCTTCAATAAAAAGGGAACTAAGCAACTGAAATGACTGAGGTGCAAAATCATACATATGAGCAAGTATAGTTGCGTATTAAGAGATCAAAAGAACTGGGTCAGCTTAACTAAACTGTCCTCTAGTGAAAATATGACTGCCCTGTGTAGCTAAATGTAAAAGTAGGGGTAACGGTAGGAGTGAAGGAGATCTGGTACCATAAGAACAAATGAGTACCAATTGGCCAGAATATACTCCTCCCAATTGAAAGAGATGAAGTGTCTAATGAAAACAGAGACAGAGTTCCAGAACAACCTTCCAAAAGATGCAGTGGAAGGAGTTTCAAGTACTTTTAATGCAGAAGTTTGATTAGAGTTTGTAAGAACTTCATGTCACTGAAATTGCAATAGCACAATTTTATATACATTCATGACATGAGGTGTGAAGGATGCAGTTACACAGGAAATCAGCATCACTCATGTTAGAAAACACATTGCATGAAATTGATGTTTCATTTAAAAGTACGCTTTATTCACCCACATCTTAGTTCCAATAACATTATAAGATAAGAAAGCGAAACAAAACATTGAAGTGAGCTGTTTTTACAAAAAAAAAAAAAAAATGAAAGTACAGTAAGGTTTTGAGCAAGTCTTGCTAAAGCATTTCAGAATGAGTTAGAAATCATGAATTCTGTCAGATTTTAATATGACAGCGTTGCTTTTTTACCCTGACTTTTGCAGGTCCTCTAGCTTATGTTGCACTTAAAGACACACAGCAATAGTTACTGCAGTGCATTTCCTCAGGAAGCGTTTGTGGTTCACCATGAAATATAGAATTGTTAGGAAACACCCACTGCTTCACACGATCTTCTGATCAAACTAAGTTACATTTATTACTTTCCCTCCAGTGGAAAGTTTAAACAAAAAACAAAAAACAAAAAACCTTGAGTTATATTATGGCAATTTCTTCAAAAATATATACACACGTACACGAGAATATCCATACACATGTGTATATGTATGCATACAAGAACAGGAGCATCTGTCTTGTAAAGAGAAGCCATTCTCTAACAAAACATATGTAAAACAAGTTTATAAACTAACTTTTTTAAAGCAGTGTTTCATTAGATGCATCTGAAAGCCATTTCCTACTTCTGTTCTAACAAGGAGAAACCTAGAAAGAGCTTAAGAGTGGTACAGAGAAGGTTCACAGATGAAGCCAGAGATTTTCTTTCTTTAATCTTTGCAGTGCAAACTCTGCTGCCTGCCAAAGCAGCATGCCCAGGTATTCGCTAAATTCAGTTCACGCTTGTTTCCCCAGCTCCCTGAATCAGCCATTTACAGATTAACAGAGATTAGTTTGCTGCCATGAACAGACTGTACACTCAGGATTGAGAAGAAGATCATCAGGTAGTGTCAGTGCTTGATAGTAGAGGCCCTAGAATTAAAGGGAGAAGTGATTTTCTGACCAGTGCCTCATTTTTGTTCCTACCTTATTGAGACGACTTATTTCACACTCATAGTGCTCTTGTTTTCTTATCATTGATGCATTCTTCTGCTTCAGGAGCTTGTTTTCTTCCTTCATTTCATGCAGGGCTTCACTGAGGACCTTTGTTTCTTTCTGGGATGCAAAAACACAGAGAAATGCTGTTGAAATGCAGATGGAATCATTTTTCGAGAACAGTTTTCAGAATATCTGCTGTCTGGCAGATGTGCTGAATTTCTGGTGTCCCAAACATAGCTGTGAAGGAAAGCAACAGGAAGATGGGTGGTTAGTAAAACCCAAATATGATAAAGTCTGTTGAAACCATTTTGACCACTCACCATATGATGAGATAGAGGCAAAATAGCAGACTAAATTCTCTACGATCTGCTGTTGCACAAAGGCATGAAAAAGCTGGCAGGCCAAGGCAAACAGTTGCATACAAATGACCATCCCAATCCTGCTTCAGGCTCATCTACCCATACCAGGGATAGAGGCTTGTGGAGTCCCAGTCGTTCTCAGATTATGTAACATTGAAGATAAAACCACTTCTCAGTGTTAAATAGTCTGAGGGCTTGAGAAATTAAGGCAAGCCTAACCCTGCTCAAAAATTACCATGCTACCAACGAAGGCTTATAGAAACCCACTTTTTTTACCCCATCACAGTTGTTGGTGCCTTGAACTTGACCCTTCTTGGTATGTCTGTCTACACTGTTTCCTTCAAGTAAGCTACCATGAAGATGTTCCTATTTGCAACAAGGCCTACAGTAGCCTTTCAAGATAGTATTGTAGGAATTATTAGGACAGATTTGTCAAATTAAGTTTGACTCCCTTTTCCTATTGCTTTCAATAATTTTCAGTTTACAGTGAAGGGAGCTAAGATTCAGATCACAGCCTGAAATAGCTGGTGACGTGTAAGATTTCCTCCTTTCTCTCTAAGGGAAAAGTTTCCTTGCTAGCCTGCTTTTGTCACATCGCCTGCTGGTTACATGCATTGAACAGAACTGTCTGTTCTACTAAAAACAAATATTTCAAATATACCTCTGCAGTTGCCTTATGTAATAAAGAAATGAAATCCAGCAATCACACACGTGATATTATATGAATGCTCTGTGCGACAGGCATACCTCTGCAGCTACGAGGCATTCATGTTTGAGCTCATGAGATACGAATCGCAGTGTACATATCAAGTCATTGAGAAACACCCTCAAGAAACTGCCACTTATGCAGGAGGTAGCTTTATTTTTCTTTGTTCCGCATAGGAACTCGGGAGCTTGCTCAAGTTGGTATGCTTCAAGATATTAAAATAAAAAACAATAGCAAAAATTAAATTTCTGATAGGCTTTTATTATATTCTATGCTTCACCATTACCACCCTCTTTCCCTAGCTCCTGGCACACATTCTTCTCCAGGATTGATAGCTTAGAGAACATGGCTATTTGCAAGTAAAGATTTCCAGTTTGTTGAGGTTTTTGAACCATTCACATTCTTCTTATTCAACTCTGAATTTTAGGCGTTCTGGCACCTAGATTTTACCATAAGTCTTTGGTCGCTGCCTATGGCCATATAGTCAAGCCCAAAAGGAGCCAAAAAATGTGCATTTCCAAAAGAATCGGTTTTCCTCTGTGGGCCACAGAGGTCATGGGAACAGATAGCTAAGTTCACAACATTGTCTTTCGGAGACATACTTTCAGATTCATCAAAAAAAGGAAACAGCCCTCTAAGACAGCAGTAGTGGATAATCTACCCCGGGACTATTAGCTGCTGCTGGCTTTCCTAAATGGGTCAGGAAAGCATGCAGAGAATGGCTTCTTTGCTGCTACTCTACTATGGCTGTGGGATTAGATAAGCTATTAGAGAGCAAACAACACTCTTCTCTGGCAATAGCTTTCTGCAGCTTCTCCCAGCTCTGTGGCTATGGGATGGGATGTGGAACCTTTGAAAAAGAAACTACTGCTAACTTCTAAGAAATTTTATATGTATGTATATATATTATTTATATATATATGTATGTACGCATGCATGCATTTAACAAAATATAAATGCTGTTATAAAGAATGTTAAATGCTTTAGAAAAAAATATATAGCCCTACAAATCTAACCTTGGTAAATTTATCAGCCTGGGTCCCTTCAGACTGCTGAACAATAAAGACAAATCTTGTTCATGTGCTTTCAAGCTGAATAACTTTAAGCATTTCTTTGGATCATCCCCTGGAATTGCTTTTTCTTCATCTAACCCCATGGGCAGCCTGGTTTGATGTGAGTATTAAAAATCATGTTGCTCATTCAAAATCCACTGCTTTTATCAGCTACATCTGCAAGGGTACAGATCTTCTGCACCCCTGCAGCTCGTCCAGCAGGTAAAGAAATTCAAAGGGAAGAGAAGCACTTTCTGGTTGACTGTATAATTTGTAAAGAAACTGCTGAACTGAGACAGGCACATGTAAGAGGTTTCTGGAGTACAGAGTTATTCTGTTCATTATTTGCGTATGTAGTTAGAAAAATAAAAATATAAATGGAGAGCACACCCTTTTACAAAGCTAGGTATTTTTCACAGCTATCACATTGTAAAGGGTGGGCAATAAAAACTGTAGTAATACAAGGAAGAAGATGAACTGTCTCACCTTGTCTGCACACTGAGGGTAAACACAGGCAGTGATTCAGCATATTCATAATGGCACGGTTTGCTTTAAAGCCTGGAAAGGGTTTGTGGATTTACTTTAGAGGGAACGCTTCAGGGATCTGACTTCCAGTGTGCATCTCTATGCCACTGCCTAAGGACTCCTGAGAGAGGTGCCTGACTATTCTCAGGGCAAGGTGAATGCTTCTCTAGAACAGAGAGCTACAACCGATCAGCCCCATTGCTTTCAGCACTTAATACCTTAATCTTTAAGGGGACCTAAGACAGCTAGTTGTAAACTGTTGACGCTAGCCCACATGTAAAAATGTGTATCAAAAAGTGGGGTATGGAGTTCAGTTCATTACTGCCAAGCATTTTAAATAAACCCGCAGCTTTTCCACTGAAAGTCTCTGTAGTACTTTCTTTCACTGAGCACTCAAAGAAATTTACCCTGAAATTAACACTTAGGCAGAACACCTCTGCACTGTACACATCAATCTGTCCTTTATTCCCACACACAGACTACTGCTGTGCAGTCTGACAATTTTTATGCAAATGACTGTCTCACCACGTAGTTCTCTGATCAGACACTGCCTTGAGTCCAGTACTGAAGAGCCCAACACCACAACTCCATCTACCGGTTGTACCACAACCCATGCCATGCACCTCGCTAGAAGAGAGAAAAGGCAGGACAGCATTCAGCACTGGGTAAGAGAATGCACCCTCCTACCATTTCCTGTGATGGTGTGTCTTTGTCCAGGATCTGCAACCTCTCCTTCTCTGGAGGATGTCGATGTCTTTCTTCCTCCAGCTCACTGACTCTCTTCTCTGACACGTGCAGTTTTGCTTTCACTTCTGCCAGCTGAAAGGCAAGTAACATACCATGGTGGGCTGCCTGTGCATCCTAAGGGGCTCAGCACACCAAAGGTGCCACGGCACCCCTTCAGCTCTCAGTAGACTGGTGTAAAGGAGTGGGTCTGTTTGGCTGTAAAGTTCTCAATTGCTTATTTCTCCCCCCACCTCCCTGACTCCAAGCTTTGCTGCTCTGTTTGAAGAGTCTTAATAACTCTGGGCAATTGCTTTCATGGTGCTCAATCAGCTGACTCTTGCACTGATTTTGCTGCCAAAGCACAGCTACTAAGGGGTTGTTCCTCTGTATGAATTCATTTTAATGTTCTTTTCTCTTTTCTCTTTGCAACATGGACCAGGTCTGCTCTAGTACACATCCAAAGCAATGTAGACAGAGGCACAAAAATGTGTTATATTAAATGAGGAAGAGTCATTTGAATTCTCCTCTTCTCTGAGGAATTCTCTGAATTCTCCTTCTTCTCTGATCTTCTTTGGAGGGAGAGGGGGAAGAAAAATCAAGTAAGAAATTATCTGGATCTCAGTAAAACTTACTGGAACATATTAGAGAGAAAATTTTCCTGATAAGTACATGAGGTCACTCATCCAACTTCCTTCCCATAGAAGGAAATAAGAGATGAGAAGTGTCAGCTTACAAAGAGATTTGGTTTTTGGAGTATCGAAAGAAATTGCTAGCACTCCATTAATAAACCAGAGTGGAAGTACCATGAAAGGTGGGACAAGAACCAAAAGACACATAGTGATGTGGATCAGTGGCTGGATGCATCAGACACCACAAGTTACTTTTCAGTCATCTGTGCTCTGAAGTGTGCCCTTTTGGAGGATATGATGTTCTCTGCTGTCATGTCCAGCCCGGTTCCCTACTTAGAGAGATGGGCTACTTCTGTACTCTCTTGTTATTTTATCCCACTGAAGATTGTGCATGCATTATCTTTACTTGTATGCGATGAAGTATTTTTACCTATGTAAGCTAAAGACAAAGTAAATATTATGCTTCCTGCCCCCATCCCTTCAAAAGATACTCACTACAGATATGCCAGCTAGTTTTTAAGCTGAATTAACTAACTAGCAGCAGGTGACATTCATATTCCAATAGAAGTAATCAGCATCGTTACCTGTTTTTCATAAAGCTGTTTCATGGTTCTAAATTGATGATCCCATTGCTTGTTCACCTCCAGAAGCTGTAATGATCAGGAAGTCACAGTAAATAAGTCTTATTTCAACACTGTCAATACATAAAAAAGACTGGCATTCTGGTACTCAAACTGTGTGTTCACAGTCTCCTTGTTATCTGGCCAGTTCATATCAAAGAAAGCAAATGGGAAGTTTTGCAAGCTTTATGGCCCATCTGTCAGTTATTTGCTATTTCAGTTACAGAACATGAATGTTCAGGAAGTGGAAATCAGAAAACATGCAAATATACAATAAATTACAGGTGAATCACTAGCAAGACTGAACAAACCCCCAAGATGCAGTTCCTACATGGCCAAGGACTTTTTGTTAATCTGCTTTAAGTTACATAAATGTACTTGCAATTAGAAGGTCACTGGCTTCAAGAAGTGAACAGAACATGTCTATCAACTGCAATTACTACTGAGTGCAGAGCTTTCTTGCCTTTCTCAGTACCACTAAACTGAAAAATAGCAGGCATGCAAGACAGGGAAGCCTAACAAACAACTTTCATGCAAGTATTACAAATGAAATCAGTGTGTGTGCATTTTTATTGATGAAAGCCAAATAGGCCTCAGAAATTTTGATTTTTAGGATACAGGATGGCACTTTGGGATGCTCAGCTAAAAAGCTCCCAATTTGCTGCTACCTGTGAATAAGACTCCATTTGCTAGTACTCATAGTGATTCTTTGGCCTTCAACAAATTAAGAAAATTTGCCCTTTATGACATAAAAATCTTTGCTCTTCTGGCATAATTTGATTTTGGAGGCGGTACTCAAAATGTTATACTATAGATAAAGATTATAACTGTAAAGGTAAAGGATAGGTAAATTCAAGATTACCTCTTGTCTCTGTCTTTCCAGTGAGAGGATATGTCGTTCCTGAGAGTTGGCTAATAGAGTCTTCTGTTTGTTTGGTAATCCTTGCTTTGACTGGAGGAAAAAAACTGCTTAAAATGAATGTTTTCAGCATCCTCTCTTCAAGTCAATATTATCAAATAAAACTCCCATCCACCCTGCTACGTGCATGTAAAGAATTTGAAGCAGCAACATTTTCTTTCACTGTATTTGATTTCGGTACCTCAACACTCTCTGGCAGTGGATTCTAAAGTATGCATCTGCTTCAACCCTGCTTGGCCTGTGCTTTACAGCTATTTTGCAAATGGATCCCAAAATAAACAGAATTATGACTATTCACACCATCTCAGATGCAGAACACAAAAAAGGCTTTTAATCATCTTACAGATGGTACTACAAACAAACAGAGTAAGCCAGAGAAGTTGAGCATAAGTTAAAAGTGGGTGCAAGCGATTCCTTCATTTACAAGAACTAGAATATTAAGTAATGTTGCACCCGGTAAGTGTTTGCAGGCCTGGAGCAATAATCTTTAAAACAATGGTTCAAAACAGGCAACACAGAAAATGAATTGGCTATTTGAAGAAATTAGGGAAATCAGTCCAGTCTGTGGTTCTTCCATAAAACTCGTACCCATGCAGAACAACAGCAGCTATGTCCTCATTTCTGTAATGGCAATGCCCAATTTAATTTTCAAGAAGCTTCCATGGGTTTTTACAAAGGTATACATGTGATATATATGTATAAGACAATTGGCCTGGAAAAAATGTTCATGTTCATATAAATATGCTACACCAGATCAGGGATATTTTTCTCTCCCTAGTCCGAATTCTAATCAATAAATTAGCAAAATAGAATAAAATAGCAAAATAGTAGAATAAAAGTAGAGCACTTTTGAGATATTATGGCTCCTGAAGTAAATTTATTTTCTTCATTTAGAGAATTTAATGCTAATACCAATGAAGAAAATTATAGAATATCTCTGTAGATTTTTTTCATAGTACAAATCCTGACCATGTATTTACCCCATGGCCAGTCCTGCTGAATTCTAACATTGGAGCACTTGACTTCAAGAAAACGATTTCTCCCTCTTCCTGTAGAAACTCACCAACATGTTTAAATTAAAGCATCTAAAACAATTACATGTCCATCAATTGAGGTATTCATGCGTTGAATTGTTTTCAATTGTTTTTCAATTCAAACAGCACTTCAGAAGGAGCCGAAACATTCACTTACTTCTGGCAGGTCTGCTGGAGCTTCCATCTCACTCATGTCTGCCCATGTGCTTCCAAGATGGCCTTGAGCATTCGTCTCACAGCAGATCTTTGAAATAAGGGCAATGAAAGATGATGGAAAATGCACAGAACTGCAGGAGAAACACGAGTGCTGCCTGTGGAAGCAGTGGGGACTGAGCACTAGGTGGTGGAATTTTGATTTTAAGCTTTTCCTCCTTCCTATCTGGGACTTCCCAGAATGGTTCAAGCACACTGCCTATGACTAATGCACCAGGCAAGGCAGCACTGAATGCTCCGTACGTAAATTGCAATTGACCGGACAGTTTGCCCCCTGAGAGGAAGTTACATGCGTAAGGGAAAGAAGGGTACATTTTTCTCAGCAAGTAGGACAGCAGGGTTTTCTATCCCTGCTTCCAGGTGTAACAAAGCACTTACGTAAGTACGGTAAATATTAAGTGACAATAAGACAGCGTGAACTATCATGATATCTAAAATTAGTGAATCACGCTTAGAAAGGCTGCGATGTTAACAGCTCTGAGGAAGAGGACATCCATACAAATACCAGGATGTCATGGGGAGCATCTTAACTGGAAAACTGATTTACTTTCCTTGAAGAAGGGTGGCACAAAGATGAAGAAGGACGGCAGATTTTATTCTCATCACAAGGACTTGCAGTTTTAGTCAGTAACTCTAAGCATGGTTCTAGAATCAAGGCTCTCAAGTCTTAATAGTTTGAACTTATGTCTTAGTTTCCCATTTGGGAAAAGCAGCTGATATTACGAAGTTAAACTCACAGAAAAGATCAACAATGAAAAAAGTTTCCACAGACTTCACATGCAAAGTGAAGAGAAAATATAAAAGCACAAAGCATCACTGTCTCTAGTCTTGGAATTCTGACTGGTTATGAATTCAAGAAGGAAAGATGAAAGAAAAATAGTTTTCCTTATTGTGGATAGATCCCCAGACCTGAAGTCTCTTTTCAGTGAGGACAGAAGTCATTCCATTGCTTGAAAAGCAAATAAACAAAGACTGGCCTGTGAAATGTGACACAGAATAATATAATTCTTCAGGAGATATTTGAATTTGGAAAACAGCATTAATCAAACTCAAGCAATCCTGTGAATTGGTAGAATTTGCTAGCCACATTCCAGCTTTCTGGTTCATAATGTGTGACTAGGCAAATTCTGTTTTCCAAAATACAAAACCCAACTGGGAGAGAACTACTGTTTGAAAACATTTGCACATGAAATATATCCTCCCAACTCTGACGTAGTTCTCAAATCTTCTCTTTTGTGGAGCGGCTGCAAAACTTGTGGGTTATAAAAGAAAGAAGTTAAAAGACACATTTTATTTTAGTAAAGATACTTTAGATTATACATGGAAGCAATTCTACCCATCAAAAAAAAAAAGCATTTCATCTGTACATTTGGCAAAACCAGCTTTTGAGTACATATCCCTTCCACGTACAGCGCTGGTTTAAAAAAAAGGAAAAACTAGGTATGATGAATAACACAGCAGCAATTTCCACAATTGTGGTTCTTGAAATTTCTCCTATAATTCGTATAATGTAATTGATATATGCCAGTAATTTTCAGGCTGCCAAACAAAGTAAATCTCTCCACCATCTAAGCAAAATTTAGTCCAAAGCCAAATTAAGGGAAACAAGAAAGTTATCCTCTGGAAACAGGTTTGTGATAAGGCCAGCTTCTAAAATGAATAAATACACCGCACTACATGAGTAAAGTAGTAATAGTAAAACTGTAAAATGCCCACAGTGAGGTAGGAAGAGGAAGGAAGCATCACACATTTTTAGAACAAGACCCAGTATTGCAATAGCACTGTCAGACATTTATGTCATATCAAAGCTTAGGATTTCGAAGCAAAAGCCTAGGTAATAGCCCTATCATACATGAGGGGAAACAGACCAACTGAGCCCTAAAGATAAGACAGATGGTGGTGTCAGATTGGCGAGTGAATAATATCTCCCTTTCACCCACAGTCTGGGGCTGTCCCAGTCACTTCTGCAGCATCCATTAATTGGGTGTCTGTATAATTTTGTGTTCTCACACCCAAGACAGAGGAAAACAATTTTCCAGACTGAAATTACTGCACATGAATAGTCAAAAGTTAGCTGCTGACTGAGAGAGTAATGTCACTCAACACAAATGACATGAACAGCCACTACCTCTCATCTCCTCATCATGTCCCAGTACCTTCTGGTGTGCCTGCCACAGCCAAACATTATAAACTCATGGAAAAACAACCTGCAAAGTGCCAGGTGAGGTGCTAAGCATTTCCTGCCTTGGGGACAGAAGAGCAAACTGAGGGCATAGACCTGCTTGTGAATCACAGCTCCCACTTGAAAAATGCTGGGGCTCAAATCATTCCAAAGAGAGGGCGAGGCTAAGACCCTGGAGTTCACACGGTTGTTGTTACCACTGATTAATTCAAAACAGTTATGTGGAAAGCTGGGTGGACATTAGGGCCCTAAATCCTTAATTGTTAATACCACAGTGATCTCATTAATGACCACTGAAAGTGATTGGTTATCTCTTAGACTGGAGGATTCAAAGCTTTTCAGAGTATGCCATGTTATATTATAGCGCAGGGCTGTGACCTCATGGAGGCTATGGGAAAGCTCATATAATTTTCATTCTTTCAAAGTCTTCTTCTGCCTCAACTAATGAAAATCTGTCCAAAGTTAATATTTTTTTAGTATTATTTTGTGAAAAATGCAGATTTCAGTGGAACAAGAAACATCTTGATGCAAGCAGAAATCTATAGATTTTGCAGCCTGTGCATACATATTAAAAATGTTTCCAATTGTACTTGTGCCATCTTACTCTTAGCTATCACTTTCCACTGCAGGGATTTCATTCAATATATGACAGAATAGAAATGACATTAAGTTTTCTTTAGTACGTAGCCAGGCAAGCACAGCATTCTTATGGATAATGCCAGTGCCCCTTCAGGCACTGCTTTAAGCCAACTGGCCTTTTAAAAGACATGATAGGAAATCCAACTCAGGGGCCAAAACCAGCCCAAGGCGCTGTTGAAAGGCAATGGTTCTGGTCAGTGGTGCAAGTGGTTTGATGGGAGATGATAGGTGTCTTGCCCCTCCCTCACAAATGCTCTTCTGCTCCCATTACCACATAAGAACAGTAGTGGACATTGGAAAGAGAAGTGTCTCTGGAATCTGTAAGAACAGAAGGAAAGCCAGTGAGTAGGGAACAGAAGTTCAGCCCTTCAGAGGTACTGGTTTTATTCCAGCAAAACTCGGGAGAAGTTGAAGCAAAGTATTTTTCTCTCCTTGAAAATACTTAACGGCTCTGGAAAAAAAGATGAGGGGATGACATTCATTTTCTTTTGCTGAGAGAAAGCTACTAAATTTGTTTATCAGTCTATTGCAATCAGTCAATGTAAAACAACTGAATTACATGATAGCACTGCAGAAATTTGAGATGTATTTATAAAACTCCTTGAAAGAAAGGCTCTTGAGAGCTATGGGACTTTAGGAGTATAAAAAGCAAAACAAAACAAAACCCCAACAAATTTTTAACATATTTACAAGCAGCTTGAAACTGTTGAATCAAATAAGCTATTGTTGATCGCCTGGAAAATTCTAGTTCAAGACCAGACAGTAAATGCAGTAACAAAGCTAAAACAAAAGCAGAGTGTTTATAGATTCAAGCAATGTTTTAAATACGCTGTTCAAATTTGCCAGCCTGCACAATACACTCAGAGCAGTTAAAGAGTTGGGGGTGAAATTTGACTTCATGCAACACAGCCACAAGAAGCTCAGAGGCAGCAGAAAATGACAGCTGAAGAGGGGGTCTGCAAAGTGTCAACAGCTCTGCACAAAATAGTGCGAAAGTAAATTTTGGAGGCTACCCGAGCAACTCTCACAGTAAGGACTCGAATAGGACTTCAGACACGGACAGGACATCAAGCCACATACACATGGGCAACAGCGTGCAAATCAGCACTCTGTGTAGCACTGCAGTAAAGGGCTTGCAGAGAAAACGAGTCCCTTGGAATAGAGACTAACAAAAATCAGATTTTACTGTGGCGAAATCATTTGTACTCAGCCACTGACATGCAAAAACTTAATTCACTAAATGTGACATAACAGCAGTAACAAACTGGTCAGCAAGTGCAACAAATCCCTGTCTAATGCTTACACAAACCTTAATTTCCCTATTTCTTCTCTTCCTCTGAAGTTTTTGTCATGCCCTTTACTGGCTACACTTTAAAAACCTCCGGTAAGCAGGCTGCAGGGAATAGTCTGTGAGTGCAGAAGTCCAAATTTAGTAACCTCTTACAGTATTACTACCTCCGACTTCTCCACATACGCGCAAATCCATGTCTCCATCCACAGCAGTCAGCGTCATGTTACTTCTTACAACCTCCCTACAGTATACCACACAGGCCTTTATCTAGCCAGGTTGATTGACAGGTTCTAGAGAAAGAACTTCCTCTAGAATTGCATGCTTCTTTCATCTGTTTCACCCTTTCCTTCTATACCCACTCTTTCCAGAAAGTCAGTCCCTTTGCACGTTTCTTACACCTGACCCACATAAGAAAACAAAATGTCACTATTCCTGCTGCTGGGCTGAGACTGAATACAAATAATCTTTTCCTTACATTTAAATATAGTTCAAGAAAATATGGAAAACAGAATTGGTGCAGATTTTGCTTTTCAAAACAGTCAGTGCAGTGCTGTGGCTTAAGAATTGGGTGCAAGAATGGTCATTTTCTTTCTGCAGAGAGCTGATAGCTTCCTCTCTGCCTATGCATATGGTAGGAATGCTTTCTTCATGCCCACACATGCCATTCTGCTTCTTGAATCCTCCCCCCCGCACTATAACTCCCTTAAAATGACAGACCAGAACACGATGAAACATACTAAGAAAACAAAGTAGTGAGGGAACCTCCCCCTGCAGGGTGCTTGAGTAAGCCTGAAACCTTCTGTAAGGTCAGTGAATCATAATTTAAAATGTTTATGTTCTCCGAATCAGCAAGAATTCTTAGTAAGACCTTTGCCCTTCTTTCTCCCTCCCTTCACACTCCTTTTCTCCTCTCCATCCACACCCATGTGCTTATCCTTGGCACTTATGAATATTGCCTGTGCTACAAGCAATGGCAACAACCACAACTGGCCCTCTATTCCTCAAAAACCACTTAGCAGCCCTGATGAATGTGATAGCCAGCGCTTATCTCATCTCCATGTTTGGTCACAGCTGCCTTATTTTAAGAGCTAAGGTGAATGGGGAAAGGGTATTTCCCCATTCTCAGAGGCTTCAGAGCACAGCTGCCAGGAATGGCTGGCAGTGAGGTGGAAGCCAGAAGCTCCTGCAAACCAACAGCTGTGTGGAGCAGGAATATCTACCATGTGTGGAAAAAGCTTCCCAGTGACCAAATGGGGTGGGCAGAATCTGCTGACCCCCAGAGTTATAGAAAGGGCTGATCTGCTCAGGAGTCCTCTAATAATGACTATTCTGTTTCTAGGAAATGATGTACTTTCTGTTATTAACAGCCTTAAGGCATCTTCCTCACCCCCATTTTGAATTAAGGACTATTTGTAGTTTTTATTCTAGCAACATCCAACATTTCTGATTATAAAAGCCTTTTAGTCATCAGTAGGAATCTTGCAACAAGATTTAAATAGGAACCTTGGAACTCTGGCCAATGCTGAGTCCTCTTGAAAGCACCAGCACTAGAAGAAGTTAGAAGTTCTCATTTTTGGAGAGTGCTGGATCTTTATTCTGGGAAAAGTATTACAAAATAGGCACACAAATTAAGGTAATGAAAGCCTCGTCACTTCTGAAAACTCTGTTCAGTCACTGCAGTGAAACCAAAAACCATTAAATTGCTCCAGTCAAGTTAAAGCAAACCTTCCCTTAACTGTAAGAAAACAGTAAAATTATCTCTCTTTTTTCCTTCCTACTCTATCAATCAGATACATGCTGAGATTCTTTTAAATTGTACTGCTTCAGAATGGTAGAAATGACATTTACTTTGAGATGAACTTTGGCTAAAATTTGGTGGCTTCTGAGAAATCTTCTGTTTGCTTACGTTTGGGTCAAGCTTTTCTTTTGTATCTGAATCACTTCTAAAAGCATTCTGACATCTTCTACTCTGCTTTGGGCAAAACTGTCTAAAATAAATGCTTTATTCTGGAAGCTGTTACTTAATCAGCAACGTTTGGCACATTATCGCAACTCTTTTGCAGCCCTTTTTCCTCCATTCTTGTGCACATAATGAAAGGATAGAAATTAAGGAATTTTAGTTGAAGAATAAAATTGGCTCTTAAACCAGAAGAATCTCTTCCTGTCTCAAGCGGGTCCATGTGCTTCACCAGGAGAAATGCACTAGAAAGGGATTTTCCCTTACATAAGCATGTCAGCCTCAACATTTTTCATTATTCAGATAGGTACTCCCTCTAATACTTGTAGATTCATGTAAGTTCCCTAATGCACAGGAAACAAAATTAGAGCAAGATGTGTCTTCAGAGCAAGCAAAACACAGAAGCACAGGCTTCTGTTTTAGAATAGAATAAAAGGATCTCCTTTTATTCACTATTTTCTGTCATCAGCAGTAAGGCTAACCACACAGGCCCAGCTACTCAGGTACCTAAGCATTTGCAAACTCAGTTCTAAAGATGAAAATGCCAATTTCATGATACAACAATTGGTTAATAACTTTTCCCTGTAGCAAGTAGACCATTTTGACATTTAAAACAAAGTTGCTACAAGTGTGGAGAGTCTTTACATTAAACTTTTTCTGACTTTCCACTCAAAAGAATTCAGATGCTTTAGCAGTTTAATTCTCCTGTATTACAATATATTTCATGGAATCAGTTCATCTGACATTACTGGAGCCTCACTCACTTGAAGTCAGTAACCAGCCTAGTGAAAATCTCTTTGACTTATAAGTACAAAGAATAAACAGCCAATGTATTGCTACTGTGAAAATATAATAAAACTTTTTTCTTTAAGCTACATGAGTGGGAAAAGAGTCACAAGTGGGAAAAGGTCCTATAAATGCAAAAAGTATAAAAATACGACAGATGGAATGTTGCCACAGTGTTCTGAGTGAAGCACTGAAGCACCCCATAGAAGTGATTGAAGTGAGTGCAACCATTTTTTTTCTCCCTCACACCCCATAAATCCTTTCCTGCATCTCCTTCTGTCACAGAGAATAACATGGGAGCTATGCATTCCCACAGACCAGCTGTGCATGCTGTTCAGACCAGCAGTTCCACAGCCTGATTACTGCTCAGTTTGGTACTGACTTCTGCTTTACCTTCTTGTTCCAGCCCTGGACTGGGAATCCCCATTTCTCCATGTAGTTTCTCTCTCTCTGTTTCTAATCCCACTGGCCCAATGCTGCAGCATCTCCTCAGGCTTAGCCCTGGTGCATGCCCCAAAGTCATGAGTCATTTTGGAAATGGCAGTTCACATGTGAAAAGAGCTGTGTGTAATTCTGTATTTCATAGAAGAGTTATCTCTCCTTCACCTCCTCATGAAGTTCCTGTATCACACCAAGAGGAACTGCCTTCAGAGATCTCTTTTTCCTCCTGGCACACCTGCACCGGTGGGTAAGTGTGCCATCCCTCCCTCCAGCAGAGCACTGGCATTCACACCTTCAGCACTGCTCTCCTCCACGCCTACCTCTCCTTCCTTTCCCAGTCAGCAGAAAGCAGGGATTTCCTTTTCTACTCCTCCTGAATGGTAAAAGCAGCTTGCTGTTCAAAGGGAGAGGAAGGAAACATGTTTGCCCTGTTTGTTAAACTGCTGCTTCAACTACAAGCAGCAAAGACTGCTCTGGCAGGTGGCTTTATGTTTCTGTTTATAAAATCACAGAAATGCAGGTTTAAATCATCATTTTTCCTCTTCAGCATCTTCTTCCTGTTTATCTAAATGCCTTTGATCCTCCCAGAGCTCTCTCTTCCTCATATCTCTTTGCATTCTCGGTTAAATCAGAGCTACCAATCACAACAACTAAAAGGGATATCAGTGCTCTGCATGCACGAGGTCTCATGGATCCATGATACCAAAGAGGTACAGCTGGCTACACGGGATGGCTCTTCACAGAACCAGCAGCTATAGCTGACCTTCTAAAACATGAAAAGCACCTTCTCATTTTAACTTCTTCATTGCACAAAGTAGCAGTATCAGAAAAAAAAAATACAGAGTGTGTTCAGTGCATCATTTCAGAAATCAAGCAGTTTCCTGCATAACCAACGCAGGGAACGTGCCTGGAACGTTCTGCTCTCACAGATAACAATTGCGAAAGTGTGTTTACCTTAGGGGAACATGAAGTCCTCTGGTGGTTCAGACTCCCTTGGGCAACAAGTTCAGAGTCCTCACACGACTTGGAAACACCACTCCTCTCTATCAGGTTCCTTATTCCAACATCAAGCTCTTTACTTTCACACCTGCTTAAAAAGAAATTGCAGAAAGACTTAAAGCACAGAGAAGGGAGATCTGTCTGTTGTCTTCTGAACATGAAAACAGACAGAGCAGAGCCGCAAGCTCCTGCTGCCTTCCTTCCAGGAATACAGTCAGATAGCACTGGGGCAGCCTCACACATGTTGTGCTTTGTGACAGAAATTCGTGCAAAATAGTTAAGCCAGTGCTCTTGACCAATTGTATTACTTTGTATATAGAAAAACCAGGCAAGCCCTCCTGAGTGCTGTCTGAATGCTACCATGCACCCTCACCCCCACCTCCAGCTGCAAGAATGTTAAAATATAGCACAAGCGTTCTCAAAATAGTTAAAATTGGATTTGAATTCAAAAAAAAAATCTTCAGGTGTTTTTTTGTTTGTTTGTTTTTTGTTTTGTTTTGGTTTTTGGTTTTTTTTTTTCATTGCACACTTTGTTTCCTGTAATACTTCATAATAAATTCCCAACAGGCACTTTCATTCCCTCCCCCTCCTCTTCCCTGT